GGCGTTCCGCAGTTTCCAGCCGCCAGATGGAGCTGCGTCCCCGGCCCTCGCCGCTCCCGGGCGGACCCACGGGCCACCTTCCCGCTCCCGCCGCCCCGAGAGCCCACCCTGGGGGCCCCTCTTTGTGGCGGAGCGTGTGGGGGCTCGGAGGTCTCGTATTTGTAGCGCTGAGACTGTTAATCGTGCCTGTTGGAAGATGCGGTGGTTTCCAGCAATGCCTTAGAGAATCCTAGAATGACTGGGGTTGGGGAGGACCTTAAACTTTTCATCTTGTTCCAACTCCTCTGCCACGGTCACGTTCCACCAGACCAGGTTGCTCAAAGCCCCACCCAGCCTGGCCTTGAACACTTCCAGGGATGTGACATCCACACCTTCTCTTGGCAACCTGTTCCACTGCCTCACTACCCTGACAATAAAGAATTTCTTCCTAATAGCCAATCTAAATCGACTCTCTTTCAAAGTTTAAAACCATTACCCCTTGCCCTAGCACAACAGTTCTTGCTAAAAAGTTTGTCCCCATCATTCTTACATGCCCCTTTTAGGTGCTGAGAGGCTGCAGTTGGGTGTCCTTGGAGCCTTCTCCAAGCAGAACAGTGCTAAATCTCTCAGCATTTCCTCATAAGTGAGGTGTTCCAGCCTCTGATCGTATCTGTGGCCCTCCTCTTGACCTGCTCTTACGGGTCCATGTCTTTCTTGTGCTGAGCTGGATGCAGTACTCCAGGTGGGGTCTCATATAGGGCATTTAATAAAGCTGATGCCCATATCTCATTGTGATTACTTTTGTCGGTTTTTGGTTGGTGCTGCTAAAAGAAAACTGATTCAGTAGTTGAGCATTTATTTAAACAAATTCATGATGCATGTGTCTGTACAGCAGGCATCTGTTCTCTGGATGAAAGTATGTAGGTTTGATCCTGGTTTTAATTCTGTGTGTGAAATTGCAGAGTTCAGCAGAGTTAATCTGGGAGACCTAATGCCCATCTTCAAGTGTAAACTTTTTCTCCCAACTTTTTTCTTTTATTTATTCGAAAACAGCACTACCCTGTGCAGCTTTGTCTCTCACTTTCCAACAGATTGTCTTGGAAATGTCAGCAGACAAGGACCACTGCGGTCCTCATGGGACAGGATGTTGGGAATTGTGCCTGCCTGCTTTGAGGTGGTGATCATGGGCAGTTCCCATCCTTGGATGTAAGTAGAACACACAGGAATTAATTACTGTCCTTAGGCCTTGGTAGTACCATAGCTAGAATCCATCCGATGGACTGGTCCCACACCTTGGAACAAACTCACGGAGAAGATGGATGGGCAGAAGGTGCCTGATAAATAATTGCTCAGGCCAACAGCTACCTTGGCTATTAAGGGACTCGAGTGAGGTTTGATTCCTCAAAGCTATGTGGGTCTCTGCATGATTCAAAAGTGGAGTTCTTTATTATTATTTATTGCTGGTGGCAATGGCAGTGAAAAAAACCAACAGTGATTGTACTAGGGGAGAAGACTAGAAGGAAAAAAATACTTGTAGGAAGACAGAAAATTATGGAAAATTAATGAATCTGAATGAACCGGAATGAGTGGTGCTGTTTTTTATTACGTGGTCTTCCCTGTTGTGTCAGGACTGAGTAAATTATGCCAAGTAGAAGCTTACATAACCTTGCAATAAATTGCCATCACTGATGTTCACCGCTTTGTGTGGAAGGGAGGCCATTTCACAGGCTGTGGCTACTGCACTCGGAGTACATTGTAATTTAGGGCATGCTTCCTGAAAACAGAGCTCATCTTTCAGGGATCTCCTGAGTCACTTGTAAAAACTCAGAAACTGGTCAGCTATAAAGCTTTTGATGGTGGCAGTGCAAGGCTCACTGACTGCATTTCACCTCTTTCTGTGAGAAACTGCAAAGCACTTAGGAAAGATGCTTTTGTTATCCCATGGCTTGCTTTCACTTCACAGTTCATTTCAGGTTTTTCTTTCAAGAAAAGTGTCCTTTCAAATCCCTCCGTGCTCCTTCCCCCTTAAGGCCACAGCCCTTAAAGCAACTGAGATGCAACAGCAGAGCAACAATGCTGGTTTGTTCATTTACATCTCACTTATGAAAAACACATGGATGATGTTGAACCATACCTTTTGTGCTGACACAGCTGCTCTGAACATACTCTCCCTGCAAGCCAACACCATCGTTACTCACTGAGCACTTAACAGCCCTGTTTTTTATTCAGAGAACCTGAAGATGTGCTGTGAAACCCAAATCGTCACAGCTGTGTCCATCGAAGCTGTTTCTAGTGACAGACATGTTCTGAAGCAAAAAAGTGTTTTCCTGTGTATATAATAAGAAATGATCTTTTCTGTGCACAAGTTACTCAACAGATGGGGTTTTGGCTGTTGCTTTCTGAGGCACCTATCATGTTTTTACAAGTAGAAAGTCAACAGAACAGGAAACTAACATGTAGAGGAGGCAAAGAAATCCTTAAGTTTACAGTTAGGCCTTTTTTTATTTCAATCAATAGTTTAACAAGTGCTTAAACTTCCCCAGCAGTTTAATCTGGAACATAGTTGAGAAGAAAAATATCTTCTATAACTTTACAAAAATAAAAAGATTTTTTTTCTTTTAAAATCCTGCACTTTAGGCAAGCACACTCCAACTCAAGCAAGACAGACATTATATCTTAAAATAGAGACTTCTGTTAATAGAAATGACATTTTACCCCAGGGCAGCAGGCACAATATATAAATGGTATAGAAACAGAGTAAGAGCACTTGTTTTGGCTTTTCTGATCCCTTTTGTCCTATTTCTTAAATAGAACCTGTTAAACCAATTGGCCCAAGAGTTTCTTCAGGTTACCATTTCTTCAGTCAGGTAGCCCCTTGAGTAGGATATTACTGAGGGAAAAGTTTTCACCTGTCTTGGTAACATTGGCAATTACTGAAGATACCAACATTAATGCTTTCATTTTTTAAAAGCTTCTGCATTTCAGCAAGGGACGAATCACTCAGCTCGTAGGTCTTCCACTGCTAAACCACTTGCAGCTTAACTTCTTCAGCAGCCAGGGCTGCTAGCACATGAAGTCACAGGTTGGAGAAATAAAATGAATGTAACATATTGTGTCACCAGTGTATAGGGTACTGTGGAGCAGTTAATTTAGTGTGTGATGAAACCAAAAGATTGGGTAAGCTTTAGCTCCTCATTCTGTGCCTGTAAGCAAGGAGAAGCCTTGCAGAGAGTATGGATTGGCACATAAACTATGCACTCTGTAGACTTACAACTTTGTCCAGCTTGACTCGTACTGGCTAACAGAAAAATAAAAAATATATGGGCACATGGAGGGAAGCTGGTCCTGCACATGCTAAGAACCCAGTTGATAAAATTATGGTTTTGGTCAACACTACAAATAAACTGTAGGAGTGCCCAATCAGACTTCTTGTAATGCATTATGAAGACCTTTTTAAATACTTCCTTTTTAAATGTCTTTAAACGACAGGGAAAAAAAGAGAACATTTATTATACAATTTGTATTTGTATTGCATCACATTTGTATGTAGTCTAACCATAAACCTTAGAAAACCTAGGCACATCTGTGATTCACAACAGCTGAGACATGAATGTGCTTTTGGAGGTAAGAACTAGACAGTGCTTTCTCTTGAAACTGTTGTAACATTTCTGACATTAGGCAATTTACAGAGGAGCCACATAGCACTAAAAACCTGTAGATGATTTCTCTGATGAATAGAGAAGATGATGCCGTGGAGCAGCTCCTTTGCTCTCTGCTTCAGTCCTGCATCATAAGCATGTGCAGATTTCAGCTGGAATTGAGTTGTGTATGGCATATGCACAGGGAATGGACATGGTCTGACAACTCCTAGCCATTGATATTTATCCAGAGATAGCACTACCTAACCTGGGAATGGTCAACATTGGTAGCAGAAGCTTTCCTTTGTGATCTAAGGAACATCACGCCATACCCATCCTCTTAAATGAATTCACTCATGCTGCTAGGTCTCAAACAGAAGTCAGAAATTACACTAAAGTTCAAGGGACTTGTTTCATTGCAATAGCTCAGTAACCCAGTTGGATGCTGACTACAAAACTCAAGTCTAGCTAGAGAAAACCCATCCTGGCTCCTAACTACTCTTTTAGAGACATCATGTCTCCTTCTGGACTCTAGTTAAAACTGTGCTCCTGATGCCCTCCTTTACCAGAAACTGATCCAGAGCTGGCTCTGCAAGTAGGTTTGACTATGTGGAGCAGAAAACCATCAAGAAAAGCTGTTGTTCACAGGGCTCAATTCACCATGGTGAGTTGGCTTTCAGCTCCTTCCAACAGTCTGAAGGAGGATCTGATATCAGGTGGATGGATGAACACTTTCTCTGGAGACTACTGAACCAATCTGAGCTTCATTCCCGACTCTTAAAGAGTTTTCTGGGACTTTTCATTTGCCTGAGGAAAAACTATGGAAGATGTGATCTGACCTGGCAGCAAGTCTATGATACAGTTCCTTCTCCCCATCCTCCTGTTGTCTCAAAAGTAGGTGAACTGATTTTGTTCCAGATCTGAGGAAACTCACATCCATGTTTTCAAGGATATATCATGCTATAGCAGACAGTGTGAAGACTCACTATGTAAAGTTGAAAGACCTTCACTCAAAACATACTTTTCCTGTCATACTGAAAATAACTCATTAAAGGCTCTTTTTCTGACACAGTACTAAACTGGGCAGCTAGAAGCTGCTGATACTGTGAAGAAACGCTATGACCTTTTTACTTATGTTTCTTACACAGGTTCCTGCTCCTCCTGCAAACCAAAATGTGTACATCAGTAAAAGCCACAGCTGAAATGCTGCACAGTTAAGCTATGCCCTGAGTTCACTCCCGATGAAAGCAGGGGAGGATGGTTCATCTATGAACTTGTAACTCCTTGCTGGCCTTAAATGTCTCCCCTGCTGCCTCCAGAGTCTGCTCTGATTCATGTCAGTGCACAGAAGGATGTATTTGCCACTGAGGGAAAGTTGTGCCTATCCTATTTCCCAGCAATGTCTCCCCAATGCTGATTTAAGCTCTATGAAACCAGGTATGTGTTGGGACAGTTCAGCAAGGAGAAAAGGGAGGATGTGACTGCATTTGGGCATCTCTTTCCCCTCCCTCTCTGGGTCAGTTTCCAGCTGCCCTCTTGCTCTCCTAAGGGCCACAGAGTGCTTGCTGCTGCAGCTCTTTTCCCTGTTCCTACATGAGGTCACATCACTAAAAATATACTGCTAAGTAGGTTTGCAGAACATATTAATCCCACTTGCTTCTTTACTTTGCCCACCTGGCTGACACAAATACTGCACACAGAGCATGCAGAGTAAGGCCTCAGGAATACGAAAACAGAAGCTGTCCCTGCAGCCTTGTTCTGGCATCTTACCTGCACTGTGTGCAACCAATAGAACAAAAGCTGCTGCTGGCTGGCTTTGAGGGGGCTTGGTTGTAACTGCTTGCTAGTTACAAAGGGAGGCCTCCAAGCAATTACACAACTAACAAAACTGAATGAGAAGATATTAAACCACTGATTATTTTTACAACTTAATGATTGTAAAAATAGCTTAAATTATTTGGACTATTCTTTTTTTTTTTTTTTTTTAATTAGAGGTGTTAACCATTTAGCACTTTTGGAATGGAGGGCTGTTGATCTGCTGATTCTTTTTGTGTTACGAGCTGTAAGATAATGGCAAGATAAATCTTTGTGGGTTTCCTCCTTATATACATATCTACATCAGAGCTGTGAAGTCAGAGGGGGAAGCTGCTATCACAGTACTGGCACAACACCGAGCCTTTCCCGAGAGCTACATTCTGATGAGAACCCGGGTGCTGGGGAGAAGAGCACCACAGTGGTAGGATGGCAGAGACGACTGAAGCAGGATCATAAATGCTCATCCCAGCAGTTAAAAGAAAAATAAAATAAAAGGAGACCCCCTCCCTCCCCCAAGAAGTCTGCAGTCCTAAAGTGCAATTACTTTTGTGCAGTCATGTCAGGCCAGGGATCAGACTGGATGAAGTTCAAAGCACAAACATCAAACGAGTGCCGTTCGGGATTCGAGGAGGAAGAGGGAAGTAAGGAAAAGAACAACAGTTCTCAGGCATTCAAGTGCATCAAGAAAATAAACGTCCCTTTCTTTTGGAAGAAAAACAACCCCCAGTCTGGCGGAATCCTGGCTTTGTAGTCACGAAAAATAAGTTGTTTCCACTTCTAGCTGAGAATGTCCCAATATGACACAGTACAAATAAACAACAAAGCAAGAGCTGGGGCGCTGGGATATTTTTCCGGTGCCCTGCTGCTATACAGCCTTATTTTGTTCTCCTCTGATGACTCCTCGGATCTGGGTACTGACGAGGCGCACTGAACTAGAGGCGTCTGGTAGGAAGTGGCTCTCTTCTCCGGTCGGTCAGGGCTGGAGCCGTCGCTCGGCCTCTGCCCGTTGTACAGCAAGTACCTGCCTCGGGCATCCTGCTCCATTTTGAAGATCTCGTACTCGGTGTGAGGGAGGCGGATGCCAAGCGCGATGCAGCCGTTCGTGTGGGTGACATCTTGCTGAACCCCAACTTGCCAGGATCCCTGTGCTCCGCACTCGTTCCCGTTGAAGACGTTGAGCAGCGAGGCTGTGGATATGTCCATTGGAGTGACCTTCATGTGATTCACTGGGAGAGGGGAAGAGGGGAGCTGTTAGCAGAGGGGCAAAAACAAAAGCAAAGCCAACATGCAGACTGGGGCCTGTTAAATCAAAATTGTCTCCCCTTTTTCATTCTTAAATGAATTTTTCCTATTGTAGGTGTGGCCAGCAAATCTATTTGCATCACTTCACGTCTATGACTTTGTGCAGAAATTCCTTTTTGCACAGAATAACCCCCCTCCTCCAACTCGGTTGAAAAAAACCTGACGGCCACATATCTCAGCCAGAGATTAAGCAGAGCTTTTCATAGGTTCCAGACAATCCTTTACAGATAAAACCTGGTTGGTTATATTAGGTGATAGGGAGAAGAGGAAACAATAAAACTTTACTGATGTTTTATTACCATCTGTATTAATCCACAAGTGGGGCTGTTTATCACGTATTTTTCATCATTTTTTAACATCTGTTACCCTGTAGAGCTAATGAAATAATTAGTTTCAATTAGGAAACTTGGAAAATACCACAGCTGCACTATCATCATATATTTTCTTTTTTTGCATGAATTATAAAATACTGCTGACCTACAGAGAGATGCTTTTTCTCATATCTAAACATTGGCTGCAGCTTGCAGTATCAAATGTAGGAGTGCTGAAGCTTCTTCAGTTCTAATCTGTCTGTTTCAAAGGAGCTTAAGGCACAGGAACTTTTTTTCCCAGTCAAGTTAAAAAAGTTGGGAAAAGCCAAACTGAATGAGCCTACAGAAACTGAATAGAGATTTTTCCTGGTGTATGTTTGCCACAAGAATATATGAAGAAAAGGGGATCTGAATGGATTGGTGCTGACCAAAACAGAAGCAAATAAATAGTCCTTATGGCTTCCAACACACCAAAATCCCAAATTCTCTTCCAAGTCATTTTATAGCAATATTTGTCAGGAGTTTTATTCTCAGGTTTTATAAACAGACATTTGACTCAATGGCTCTACAGTTCACATTATTTGCCCCATATGGTGTAAAAGGTAATTTTTAAAAATTGAATGTACAAGTTTTATCAAAACCAAAATAGTGACCTTGATCTGTAAAGTAAGCTGGCATAGCATAAAACAGAAATTCAAGAAAAAACAAACTGGGTTTCACCCCAGGAGCTCAGTGGGGACATGTTACATATGCAGCTCTAAAGAACAAAAGTTCTGACAGGCAAGAGTATCTCCTGCCTCCTATGAAAATCCCAGATAAGTAAATTATTTATTATAGATAGATGCTTTCCTAAATTAGACCCGTGCAAGAAGCTTTATGCTTCTCACATGGTAACTGAAATAAGGAGGAGAAGAGCCTACAGAGTGCTTGAGGCTTCCAGAGGCTTTGCTGGGGCTGGTGCCATGGTGGGATGCTGTGTTTGTTTGTGTGAGTAGTTCAGGCCTCTGAGCTCTTCCTATCCAGGGGGCCTTGGGGCTGTTTGCACAGGAAGGCTTCTCAGCTGCAGGGACCTGGGTGGCATCACCACTGACTGCTGCTTTCCAAAGTGCTTGAGGGGTTTTGGTTAGATATGTCTAGTCTTCGCTCTGGTGAGAATAATCAGAGCTGTCTTTAGGGACACCCTTACTTGCTTGAGGGCCTCTTGGAAGCATATAAAAAGACGTGTGCTGCTACATCTGTCTTTGACAGAAAATTATTAATATCTCTTCAGATCTGAAGTGCCTTCTGAAGGTCCTTTTTTTTTCTCTCTGCTGAAGGAATCCTAGGACATAGCTCTAACCTTAGACACTTTTCTTAGATGCTTAAAGTCTGGCCACATAAGAAATTCCACTATGTGAAATAAGATTTCACATCACTAAGACTCCATGACTTCGTGATGTGAAATCTTGTTTTCTTGTGCTGTACCTAAAGACCTCTGCCTCAAACGAGTATTGCTTCAGTGATGTCAAATGCCTAGCAGCTGTACAGTTTGGCTGGGCATTCACACAACACCTGAAAACGTCCCAAAAAATGATGAACTCCTAAAAATCACATAATGAAACCATCAGAAAACAAATCGCTATGAACAAACTCTGCTTAACAGCCCATAACTACCTGACTACCTCTGCCCCCAGTGTAGCCAGTCACTCTACCTTTGAACACAAACTCCGTGCCACCCATCACTTTGGAGGAGTGGACTCCCCGGCTGTAGCGTCCCTTGGCGTAGATGGTGAAGGTGGGGTGCTTGCAGATGGGGTCGGAGTAGTGGTAGTAGTGACCCTCCCAGGTGTTGTTGTTGTCGTGGAAGATGAAGTGCCGGGTGAGGAAGAGGACCTCTGGCCGCACCTCGCAGCGCTGGCTCACCCACTCGCCGTGCAGCCCTATGGTCAGATCCGCCTTGGGGGGCAAGATGGGAGGGTGGTGCTCGTCCGACCGGTAGATGATTCTGCACGCGATGCACGTGCGGTCGTGGTTCTGAAACAAAGCAGAGAGAAATCCTTGTTAGGCATTATCTGTGATACAGGGCAATGGATCAGGCCAGCCACTTGGTGCTGGAGTGACATCAACCCCACATTTTAACGCACTGTCGTTTCTTATCTTGTTAGTGGTACCTTTGTATGTGCAAGACTGCACAGCAGGAGAGCACTTAAAAGATTAAGTTCCTTGTCTGCGTTTATCTAAAATTAACATTTTAGTTCAGCTTTTTATAGGATCTAGTAAAGGCTGACTTTACCCTTCAAAACACAGGAGAAGCTGGCAGATAGTAATTTACTATGATAGGGACTTTGCAACACTTGTGTTAGAAATCAAGTCATTTGCTGAGCTCTTATTTTGCATCTCTCTTCCTTTTAGTTGTTAACTTTGGGTACTGTAGATAAACATGGGTGTCCTAAGGACATTTTTTCTTTTTGGATGGCAGCCTGGGAGAACAGCAACCATTGATTTCAAACTTTTTTCAACTTTTCTGAACCCTTATGCAAGTTTGTGAAGTGTGCTATATGGCCAGTTACCGCTGGACATGCTGAAAGCTTTATGGCTCTCTCCATCCAGAACAGGGTGTGTGGTGCCTTGCTGAGCTCCATGATGGCTCACTGCTGTGGGCCAAGCAGCAGCCATAAGCAGCCAAGTACCCCAGCCCTATCCATGAGCACAAGGGGTGTCTCACTAGGGGTGTGCAGGCTCCAAGTCCATGGCAGGAAGGAAGGGAATTTCACAGTGAGGCTTCCGCCTCCTGCCATCAGAAACTACAGAGACCTGTAGGTTGTTCCTGAGGCTAACTCTCTCTGCTTCTGCAAGGTTTTTGTCTTGTTGGCAAACGTTCGGGCTTTAGGTTTTCAAACTGTATTTTGCATTTTTCAGTGGCAATAGAACCAATAGCTTTTGTCTCTGCTCTGCTAAGCCTTGAATTAAATTTTATGGTCCAATCAAGGATTAGGATACTAATTTTTTAGCTCATTTTATTGATGGCAAATAATTAGCTTAAGAAGAACAACCCCTCAAGAGAAAAGCAGTGTTGTTGCCAAGGGAGGTTGTGGACTCCTCATCCCTGGAGGTGTTCAAGTCCAGTTTGGATGGGGCTTTGAGCACCTTGGTGTAGTGGAAGGTGTCCCTATCCTTTGTAGGGGGGTTGGAACTAGATGATCTCTAAGTCTTCTTCCAACTCAAACCATTTCTGATTCTATGATTCTGTTTTCCTGGTGTCTGGGTCGGTGATGTGCTGTCTGTGTACATCTCAGGACTTGATGGTAGAGGCTTTCTACTTAGCTGGTGAGGTGTGGAGGGACAGCGCTCTGAGCTGTAAGTGGGCTTACACTCAGAGTGAAAGGCAAAGACCACATAGACAGCTTGTGCCTTCGTCTCTCAAGGGCACTACTTGATCCTTAGTGGAGACAGCACTGGGGGGGGGGGGGTTACTCACATCTGTCTTGTTCGAGCTGTGAGGTATTTACCTGAGGTGTAGTTCAGAGCACATTGAGTTAAGAGCTAAAGCTCACCATGCAGCCATCGGGAAGAGAGATTTATATAAATACTTTTTCCTTGAGCCCCTTTCCAGCCCTCTTTTTTGAGGTCTCTCTGAGATCTCTGCACAACATAAGTGTTCATATTCATTGCTCTTTAAAGTCCATGTGAGCCGCTATGGAGTCACCATTTCTCCACTCACTGCCTTCAGCTCACAGCTCACTTTAGGGGTTACGTTCACACAGTCTTCATTAGTGACCTGAGTTTCTCCAGTAATATGATATGACCACAGGTAGCTTCAGAGAATCAACATACAACTTTCACAATATATCCCTTTTACACATATTAAACAGGGGTTATATTTGCCTCCACTCAAGACCAGACAGTCATCAAAAGTTTTTTCACCAAAAGTGAAATCAATGAAAAGTCCCCTGTTCTACATCCCTGGGATGTAGAATAATGGTCTATGTGCAAAATAACTATAAATGGTGTAGCTCAGGTTGATCTGGACCAGTGCTGGCCAACAGCCCTGCTCTGAGGAGGAAGGATGCTGGACTTCGTAACCTCCAGAGGATCTTTCCACCCCAAAACACATGATCTTCTGGGAGCTATGTGTCAGCACGCAATTGAAGTGGATGCACTTCTTTCCCACTGTGGAGCTTTTTAAATAATGTTAAGATACATTTTTTCAGCTCTATTCTGCAAGCAGGTGCAAGGGCTATTAGAACCTTAGTGAAATACAAAGAATATTTAATGGAGTGATTTAACACAACTGGTGAAGCTAGCACAAATCTATATTCTAAAAGTATTTTTGAATTTTAATAGAAACAATAGTTTTCCTTCCTGGACATCAACATCCAAAGGATGCCACCACTGCCTTGCATGGACACCTGCAGAGATCCAGACCAAGGGATTGCTCTGTGGAAGATGCCAGTGCCTATTAACCACTCGTTTCTCCAGTGTGGCTGTCCTGCCATGAGGCAGACTGGTGTCACTCCTCCCTAACACATTGAAGGCTAATAAACTGCACTGATGACAGTTACCTTATGACTGTGATTGCCCCACTCACATAAAGTGAAGCCAGAAAGCAAGGCAAAGACAGTGTTATAAACTTAAACATAGCTTATATAAGCTGAATCGGTCAATAGTAGGAGACAATTTCTGCTATAGTCCCTTCTCTATTGAAGTAAATTTGAAAGCTTTTATTATCTCCCAGAGGAGACCCTGGCAGAGCAGTAAGGTGGTTTGGTTTATATTCACATCTTCTTCTCAGGAGCCTGTATTCCAAAAACAATTCTTGAGCCAAGACAATTTAACCTGGAAACCAGTGATTTCTCTTGCCCTTGTTCAAAATCTGAAGAAAACCAAACAGAAACTCAGCCTGTTGTCTTTCTTGGTAAACCCTTGGCTATGGGGTTCCTCTGCTGTTTCTCAGGTCTAGTGGATGGACAAGATGAAGATCTGCAATCAATCCTGTTTGCAAAAGCATTATTTTTTTACTTTTTTGGAACCAGAAAGGACTATCAAGCATAGAGGTTCTTTTTGCTATTCTTCTAGCAGTGATTCTTAAGTTTCATCTCTCTTCTATACCATAAAAAACCCACGGGTATTATGAGTCAAGGTTCTGATGCTGGGCAGGAGTATTCTCACAGTTTGATGTCTTCTCCATCATTCTGGGAGTGCAGAAGATGGTGACTGGTAACACCTGAAGCCGCTTGGTCCCTTGACTGTGGCCAGTGCCAGAGTGGGCAGAAGAAGGTCCATTGAGCTCCACAGTGGAAACCAATTCATAACCACAAGCAGCCCCTTTCTCTTTATCAGAGGTGGGTTTATGTCTTAGGGTATAAGAAGGAGCTACTTCCCAAAACATAAAACTACACTGGCTAGCATTATACTGTGAGCAGAGGTGGCTCCTTTGGGAAACTCTAGGAAGTATACTATCTTTCACGAAGTTATAAACTTCTTAGTAGAAGAATATGCCGCGTGCAAACTCCCTCGGCATGATTTTTGCCTGAGTAATGGACAAGGGAAAGATCTAGTTTTGTTATGAGGCAATTTGACTTAATTTTGGAGTAATTTATGTTTAACAATTGACTGTATATTTCCCTCTTGCCTTTTTTAGGTCAGCTGCTCTTGGATCTTAATTACACTAGCTGTGGCTTTGCAAATCACTCCCTTTCCATGTGTTTCAGGGAAAGATTATTTTCTAAAAACAGACGTTCAAAGAAAATAGGGAACAGAGACAGAGGACATTCGAGTCCAAACACGATTAAGTACTCTCTAATAAAAAACTCATTTGGGCATGACATAAACTAAAAAGCAATAAAATGAGCAGCGGACAGGATGACCATCTGTTCTATGTTTTGATTATCTTAGGTGTACAATGCAATATTTTTAATAGTGGGGTCTTGCTTGAAGGACTGGCCCCTGAAATGGCTGGAAGATCCCTTCCCATGATGGGTACCTCCTTGCAGCTCTGCAGAGCCAAACCCACAGTGCCCCAATTCCTCACCCTCCTGGGTGTTTCTTTAAAGCCAATTTCTGAACTAAGCCATGTGTGCTGAAACAAGCCTGAATCTCCAGCTGGAAACTCAGCTCTTGTAGTTGTGGAGAAAATAGCTTGTGATCTGAAGATTTCCACCGACATTTCTCCTTATCCCTCCCTCCTGCTGTCTCAGCTGAAATGGTAACAGGGCCAGAGAGCTCTGGAAGCCAAGCAGGGAGGTTTCTATTAAAAAAAAGTAAACAAGGATGAGATTCCCTTGATCTTTTTCCCAATTGCTGTGGATACTCAGAAACATAAACCCTCCCAGCATAGTTTAATTTTCTCTTAAGTTCTATAGATTTCTGTGGCTGCCTAGGATTAATTTGCCTTTAATAAATTCATGGTGCTTTTTATGGCCAAGGCAAAAAAACTATCATACAACTGGGATGCTCTCGGAGCAATGGTGAAGTGAGCTTTGAATTACACCTAGAAAGATGTTTTTGGAAGGTGTTCTACTTTTCTCTGAATGCCTTTGTATTTCGATGCTGTTGTTAAGAGAATAAGGGATCTATGGACCAAACCATTTTCCAAACATACAGAAAATGTGCCCTTTCCTTAGGGTTCAATCAGAAACTGAAATCAGTGCTTAATTTGGAGGCAAGGACCTGCAGGATGTACTGCAGGTTGTACTTAGGGACAAAGCAAACAAGCACTAATAGTAAAGGGGAGGATGAAAAACTAGTTATTTTTCAACTGCACACCTTGTTCAAACATATTTGCTCTCTCCCCTATATGTCTAGTTACCCTTTATATCTTGAAAATGTGTCTGTAAATACTTCTTGTCTGAAACAGCTCCAATCGTAACTCAACCTTTCTCCAGAAGAATTACAATAGATAACTATTCTGATGTTTGCCTATTTACATAATGAAAACTAACATTATCTCAACTATAACATACTGGTTTTTAAGGGAAGATTCATTGCTCAGACTACTTAAAGAGTTTGAGAGATGCAGTAAATTCTTAGCAGAA